TCATGTTTTTTTCAAGGTGCCTGTAGGGTGTAAAAATACCTTTTGTTTCTTAAGGAAATTGCACTAAAAGCCCAAATTTTCAAAATAACAGGTTTCTACCACATTCTGTACTAGATACAAATGTCTGGTGCTTAACAGTCATTGTAATAATGCAACTTTTTAACTTCCTGTTTGATCATTGTGGTATATCCGCATTGATCCTTCATTCCAGGCTTGTAAATGTTCAGTAAGGAATGTGTGCGTGTGTGTGTGTGTAATATGTAAAGTGCTGTCAACTTGCAGCTGACCTATGGTCACTCTTGCAAGGGGCTTTCAAGGCAAGTGAGAAGCAGACATAGTTTGCCATTGCCTTCCTCTGCAGAAACCTCCTTGGTGGTCTCCCATCCAAAGATCAACCCTGCTTTGCTTCTGAGATCTGACAAGATAAGGCTATACCATGCTTCCTTCCGTCCCCCATTAAACAGTACCTTTGATGATATGAAAGACCTTTTCAAGTAGTCTGCTATCTATCCAAGGCTCAGATTGGTTTGTCTTGGACCTCGGCCCAAGCGAAGCCTTGTACAACTTGTGGCCCACTTTTATGTGGCCAGAAGCTTGGACACCTCCCTCTTTTGGCAGTCACAAACAGGTAGCAAAAAGGTGATTCTGGCTGTTTGCTGAGTCCCTTTTGGTTTGGTTGGTCATAAACTTTTTGGTCTTCCTTAAAATATATGCTTTAAAGATCTTAAGAGATTATACAAAGACTTCCTACTCAAGTGAAAGGGCAATTCCATTCACATTAGGAGGAATGGGAATGGTTTTGTATGCAACTGTCTCCTTTTTCCATTCAGCGGATGCAAAATGCCACGGAAGCACAGTCATTTAGTCCAAAATGTCTTGGATTGTTGACTCAAAGTATTATCCTAAAGCAACCCTAATTAATTGGAGCAGGGAATTGTGTGTTTCCTTGCAATGCATATATCTCCTCTGTATATCTGAGATAATGGTTATGCTCCCCTAACAGATGGAGGCATTCCTTTTGTTATCTAGGAACCTTGTTTCTCATTTCCAGGTCTGTCTTAGCCTCTAATTATCTAGTAATGGTTGTGCGAACAAGAAAAAGGCTAGAGTGACCTCATAAGGTTGTTGGCCCTGGATTAACTGAGTTATTAAGGAATTAGACCTCTTTAATAAATCAGTTAGGAAATGAGGGCTGGGATGTCAGCTCTGCTGCAATTCTCTGC